TTGGGTCAATCGTTTACCAACGAATAGTGGGATTGACTGTCACATTATAACGCCCCACGGCTGAAAGGGCGAGCATGTTTGGTGTGACGGGGATTCGAACCCGCGACCCTAAGATTGCGAGTCAACAGCCCTAACCGCCTGGCCATGCCAGGCACACTTTGTAAATGACAAAATAATGGAAAAATGATAAAGATGTTTTGTTTTTCATTAACACTTTCGTTGATTGCAATTCCAGGAATGTGATATATCTTTTAAAATGTGTAAACTGTGGTGAATTATATGTTGGCAAAACAGATAATTTAAGATTAAGGATAGATTTACATAAATTCCATTCTAAATCTCCCGAAAAACTAAGTCCAATATATATACCAGCAAACATTTTAATGAATGCATTATGAGTAACTTTAAAAGTCTGAAACAACCATATCTTCATTTATTCCCTTCTTGGGTATATGGTATAAAACACAAATGATTAAATTTTGAAAAATATTTCATAAATATTATTGGCGCCTCTTTAACTGTTACAAAACTCCGCCATTGCCTAGTCCCAAGTCCAAGATGAGAAAGGAGGAGGGTTGGGCGCGGGGCTAGCAACTCCACCCTGTAAAAAAACAACCTGCTACAGAAACTGCAACAACAACTTCATCCCAGTAGCTGCCTCGATGGGAAGACTCCTCTTCGGTGGAGCCCATGACGCGGACTGGTGAAAGCCTTCAGGAAGCCAGCTAACTGGCAAGTCTTCTTACGACCAAGGCCAAGACCAGGATAGGGACCTGGAACACCAGAACCCTGTATGAGAGTGGCAAGTCAGCACAAGTGGCCAGCGAGATGAGAAGATACAACATCAAGGTTCTCGGACTATGTGAGACTCGATGGAATGGAAGCGGCCAGACCAAACTGTCTTCAGGTGAAACCATCATTTACTCTGGACATGAAGACGTGGACCACGACCACACCCAAGGAGTCGCGCTACTGCTAGCGTCAGAGGCTACAAGGGCATTGATGACATGGGAACCCGTCTCAGCAAGACTTATGTCAGCAAGATTTAACTCCAAGGGCAGGAAGATAACCATCATCCAATGCTATGCACCAACCAACGCGGCAGATGAAGAAGAAAAAGAAGACTTTTACAGTTCCTTGCAGTCCCTTTTCGACCGGACTCCAAGAAGAGACATGAAGATCGTGATGGGCAACTTAAATGCTAAGGTGGGAGACGACAACACAGACAGAGAACTCATCATGGGCAGACATGGCATAGGCACCTGCAATGAGAACGGAGAGCTGTTTATAGACTGCTGTTTTTTCAACGACCTAGTCATAGGTGGCACCATCTATCCTCACAGGAATATTTACAAGACCACTTGGACATCACCAAATGGGAAGACGGACAACCAGATTGACCACTTCACCATTGACCGCAAGTGTAGACAAAGTCTGCTGGATGTCAGAGCAGGGCGTGGCGCCGACGCAGCGTCAGACCATCAGTTGCTTGTGGCAACACTGAAGACGAAGCTGAGATCCTCCTGTGACTCTTCAGGCAGACCACACCATAAATTTAACATTCAGTTTTTGAAAGATGGCAAGAAAAAGAAGAGTTCAACTGTGAAGTCAGAAACAGTTTTGAGGCGCTGACAGATTTGGTAGAAGAGACAATAGAGAACCACTAGGCTGAATTACAGAAGACCTGGAAGACCACTTGTACCAAAGTACTGGGGAAGAGGCAGAGGGAGCAGAAGGAGTGGATGTCGAAAGAAACATGGGAGAAGATAGAGTGGAGAAGAAAACTGAAGCAGAAGATTAATAGATGTCAGGACCAACAAGTGAAGGGAAACTTAAGAGCAGAGTACTGGGAAACAAACTGAGAAGTGAAAAGAAGTGCAAGACACGACAAGAGACAATACATACAAGGTTTGACAGAGGAGGCAGAAGCTGCAGCTAGTCAGAATAACATGAAGAGACTCTATGAAATCACGTGAACCTTGTCAAGAAAGAGCTTCAACCTAAGTAAGCCAGTCAAGGTCAAACAGGGAAGAACCATCGCAAGCGATGTAGAACAGAGAGCACGGTGGGTAGAGCATTTTGAGGAGATTCTGAACCGACCACCATGCTGCTGTCCATCCCCAGCAAGATGCTGACTAGAATCATCTTGGAGAGACTGAAAGAGGCGCTAGACAAAAGACTGAGATCAGAGCAGGCAGGATTTAGACAAGATAGATCGTGTACAGAACACATCACCACTCTGAGCATCATCATCGAGCAGTCCATCGAATGGCAGTCTCCTCTGTATACGACCTTCGTTGACTTTGAAAAAGCCTTCGACAGCGTCGACAGTGAAACGATCTGGAAGCTGATGCAGCACTACGGAATTCCTCTGAAGCTCATCAGCATCATCCAGCAGCTCTATGAAGACTCGTCCTGCCAGATAATCCACAATGGAAACTGACAAGCCTCTTCCCAGTGAAAACCGGAG